CGTTTAAGAATACTTTGACAGATTCCTCGGTACGTCCAGACACCATTACCAGTCTCGGTAAATCATCGGATGGAGCTCCATTATCAATTTTCTTCTTCGGATTGGATTTTAGTATGATATGACAATTGGCGCCTCCAAAACCAAAAGAATTAATCCCCACATAACCACCTTCCCAAGGTGTCGATTCGGTGACGACTTGGAGTCTACCTTCTTCAAGGGCTTTCACACCTTCTCGCGGCCGGTTATAATGCAAATTACCTGGGATTATTCCAGTTTCCATCGCCAATAATACCTACAATAAATATTGCAATTTGTTGAGTTTATGTAAACGTGAATCTATTGAAATATGCTTTCACACATTCGAATATTCGCAAATGCAATAATTGCAATATAATAAAAATAACTTTTTAATTTTAAACAATGCTTGATATATATTTAATTAAATCTTTAATTTTAATGTAACTCTCTTTTTTGTAATCTATATTATATATAGCCTTAAAATCTAAATTTATTACAATTATTTAACTTTTAATGATAATTTCGCAATTATTGCTTACATCTTTTAAATTTGATTATTTTTAATTATGATAAACTAAGTTAAGTAACTAAAAACCCTGAAAAATTTTGGCATAAACGCAAAGTCACCTTGGCAACTTGGCAGAGACCGCTAGCGGGCTCAGTATGACCCAGGTTTGACTTGACGGACCCAATAAGGAGAGGGATCTTTCTGCTTTTATTGAAGACAGAATCGATCGCATTGATCTCTTCAGGATCGCCGATTTTAGAGCCAGTACTGTGACATTCTAGATAGGACAAACTGTTCGGCGACAAACCGCAATCATCGTAACATTCTCGCATTAGCGTGCCTTGCATTTCGCTCGACGGAAACAGGATACCTTGCTTCTTGTAACCGTCGCTATTTGTCTTGCCATAGACGACCGTGGCGTAGATTCGTTTCGCATACTTTGCCTTCTGCAGATACACAACGGTGATCGCTTCGCTGCGAGCGTAACCATCCGCGTCGTTGTCAAAACATTTACAGCGACCGTCGCGCGACAAAACCCCTGCAATCATTATTATGTTTAATACAAAATATTTAAAAATAATATATATACAAAATAATATATAAAGTATATTGTTTCAAAAAAGAAATAATTTTATTTCTTTCTTATATTTCTCTCTTTTATATTATATAATTTTATTTCTTATAAAATATTTATACTAATTTTTGTGTGTCGAAATTGATTGCAAAGTTATATACATAGTTATATACTATATATGTTAAGAAGAGAGTACTAGAGTGTAGTTTAGATTGGTATTCAAATGTCTCTTCTTGATTTGAAGTTCTAGTTTCTACAATAAATCTTTATAACAAAAAGGCAAGGCAAGAATTTTATTGTCCCATGTGCATTGTATAGGGACAGATTCATACAAAAATATAATTATATGTTGAAAAACAAGATGACAGAGCGATCATACCAAGGCGAGAAAATTGCAGCGATATATAGGGATGTAAACATAGATTCGCTCCACCTACGATAGCGGCATCGCATTGACCATCTTGCATACACCGAAAAGCGTGCTCCAGAGCGAACAAACTCGAGCTGCAAGCGGAATCCAAAGTATAAGATGGTCCAGTTATTCCTAGCCAATAGGAAATCCTATTTGCCATCATGGCTCTGCTGCATCCGGTAATTCCAAAACCGTTTATCTAATCACATATAAAAGAATTCAGCTCGGAAAATAATTTAAAAAGATTTGAAAATATATTTCTCATACAAACATATACACAGTTCAATTTCTCTTATTTCATCTTATTTTAATTACTTTTCATTTTAATTTTAATAACTTCTTATTTTAATTACTTTTTAAACTTATTTTAATTATTTTTTTATTTACTTTTTGACTTATTTTAATTATTTTTTTATTTACTTTTTTAATATCCTTTTTAAACATCTTATTTTAATTTTAATAACTTTTAATTTTAATAAAAAGTAGAAAATATAGAAAAATGTGTAGAAAACAAAAATAAAGAAATAGATTATAAATCCTAGATTTTGCAAAGAGATATAACATTACTGCAATAATAATTTACCTGTAACTTTTCATAAAACCAGGTTTTTTCAGATTCCGAGAAACACGCGCCTACAAAGACACCCGTTCGCGATCCGCGTAACTGCTTCGGATTTATTCCTGCATCGATGATAGCCTCGTAAGCATGCTCTAAAAGCATTCTGCACATCGGGTCCATCGTTTGAGCCTGTTTAAAGTGGACCCCGAAGAATAGCGCGTCGAACTTGCTAACATTGTTTATCTTTCCGGTGCGCTGGGGAATATCCGGATGATCTGCCGGAGCAATTACAACATTCATACAATAAAATAATATATATAAAATATAATAAGTTGCTACGCTTACATATTCGAGGATTTTTAATTGCATAATGTGACAATGCTGGTATAAAAATATAGATGTATAATCTAATTATTATATTTTAATGGAAAAATATGAAATTATATAATCTAATTACAATATACATATATATAATAAAATTAGATGTCTATCTATACTTAACAATTAAAACTTGAATCTATTAATCACCTAATTTCCACCGACGATCATCATCCGTGACCAAGTCTACTTTATTCAATAGATTGTTCTTGAGTTCTTCCATATTGTTGGAATCCGGAAATCTACCGGCGATACCAGAGATAACAATTTCTTCTCCAGGTTCGGGCACCTTGTAAACTCTCTTTGTCGATTTAGTCGCAGACATTTCGGACATTTTCAAAATCTTGTCAATTTGAAGAAAATGCTGTTGTCGGTTCGTTATCGAAATATTCTCTCATCAATTTATAATTATGTGAGCAATATTTATAATTAATTTTTCGATTAATTGCACCACATAAAGATTTAACAATTTGATTTGTTGCAGAAAAAACTTAACAAAAAACTTAACGAACACGTCAACCATTCAAAATATGAACGACGAATCAGGAGTGAGGTAAGACAACGGGACTCTTTATAACGAATATCCCTACTTCATAATATGAATTTCATTAATTGCTACTTTGAACTTCCTCCGTTTGCCACAGGCTATTTTGCATATAAAAGTATATTCTATTGTGTTTCGAGAACTTTCTATTCGTTTACTTCAAATATTTTGTTATAAGTGTTACAATTTAATTTTTCATATCGCAGAGTAACTGAATTTCTTCGAGAATCTAATTGATTCATGAATAATAAATACTGATGATTATCTGAGATAATTTTACAATTACGAGATTTATTTGTATGTGTAAATAAATCGACTCCTGAAAAAATTATAAAAAATATAAAAGTATCTTAAAACGATATGTATCCAATACACCCAGTCGAATTAAATAAAAAAGCATATCACTGATTAACAACATTGAACCTAATAATAAATGTAATAAATGTAATAAATCGTAAACTAGATTTCTTTTATATAATAGTTTTCTTTTCTTGTATAGTCCAACGGCCAATAATGAATATTCGTCGTCGTACCAATGTCAAAGAGTCAAGAGTTGCCGGACATCGCATAATATATATCGTAGAATACATAATGCATGTTCTGTTAATACACTCTTTTAGCTACATTACGTTTTACGTTTTACTCAACCAATATTTATTTAAAATCAAAGTCCCGGTGACATTATATCCAATAATTTTTCAGAAATAAATTAGTGAAATATATAAAATTGTATTTAATATATAGGATATTTCATTTTAATCGCCCCAGGCAAATATCTCGAAAAATATGAAAGATATGGAAAAACATTTCAGACAAAAGTTGCATGGTTTCGAGGGTCACATGATAAAAATATAAACTTGACCTTGAGTGACCTTTTCAAGATGAGGTCAATGTGGTTGGTTTTCTTAAATGGAACCCTCCATTTTTCATTGCATATTCTTGTAGCTTATCTCGAGAGCTTTTTAAAACACTATAATAAAGTATTTTTTCATTAAGTACTTTTTGAGTTATTTTATATCTTAATCTGACATATTTTGATATAAAAAAAAAATATCACGTAAAATATTTAGTTTTCGATAATCTTACCGTAATATTTTTATGTACAGAATAATGAGACAAATCAATTAGTGTAAAAAAAACAAACAAATAATTGTTTTAAAAAATACATTGTCAAATAATCCATTATCAAAAATTACATGGTTTTTCTTAAAAACAATTATTTGTTTGTTTTTTTTTACACTAATTGATTTGTCTCATTATTCTGTACATAAAAATATTACGGTAAGATTATCGAAAACTAAATATTTTACGTGATATTTTTTTTTTATATCAAAATATGTCAGATTAAGATATAAAATAACTCAAAAAGTACTTAATGAAAAAATATTTTATTATAATGTTTTAAAAAGCTCTCGAAATAAGCTACAAGAATATGCAATAAAAAATGGGGGGTTCTATTTAAGGAAACATCAACCACATCGACCTCACCTTAAAACGGTCACTCAAGGTCAACTCCATATTTTTATCATGTGGCCCCCTCGAAACCATGCAACTTTTGTCTGAAACGTTTTTCCATATCTTTCATATTTTTCGAGATATTTGCCTGGGGCGATTAAAATGAAACACCCTGTACATATGATAAAAAATACGCTGTTATATATGTATGTATGTATGTATGTATGTATGTATGTATATGTATATATGCACATATATATTATTGTATATTTTTTATTTTGTCTTCATATTTTCTGTTCTTGCAAAGTTATAAAAATATTAAAGTTTTATTAATATACATAAGGAAAATATAATATTATGTGCTGTTATATCACTAATATATATATACTAATTTATATAATACAATACATTTAAGTACACAGTTGTTTACTCTTATATATGTAAATAAAAATTATCTTTATATTTTCTTGTGATTTTCTTATGATTATATTGGTGATTATATTAGAAGAAACTAAAGTTATTAGAATATACAAGAAATAGAGCTTAATGATATAATTAGATGCGGAATTTTATTTTATAATTAAATGCCACACGTCTTTTAATCTTTAGCCTTTTTTAAGCACTTATGATATGCTGAATGCATTCAATGCAAACTTTGTCAAACCATTTAGCCGCTTTTTTTTCTTTTTTTATTGCGAATACTTCGAACGCGTTAATTCAATAAAAAAATAAGTACATTTAATAATTTTATATATAAACTTATTTATTTTATGAATCAATAAATTATTATATTAATTAACACTGGCAGTTGCACATATAGAAAATAAACTCGATTAACTAATCAGAGAGTTAATAACGTGGCAAGAGTATTTGAGATCTTCATCATGACACGCGCGCGCGCGCGCGCGCGGCGTTTGTCTCTATTTTTTTACGCATTCAAGTTCTCTGTTAAAGAGAAACATGATAAGAGTATAATTTTAAATTTACTATTATTCTACTTGTCTTTTACTTTTTCTATAGAATAGAAATGATATTTTTTTCGTAATAATTGCTGTCATATGAATAAGTTTTCATATACACAAATTGCTAATTTCTAATAAATCAAAAAATAGTAATATGAAATTAAATCAAATAGATTGTATACAAGACCTACTTCAATATTTGTGCACTCCGCCAAAGTGTACCTTTTTTCCCTGTCCATCTAAAGCCTCCATTAAACTCGATGTGAAACTGAATTCCGAGCTACTTTCATCTTCTTGAGCTCTGTAAAAATAAATATAATTATAACAATCTATATAATATATTGAATGAATCGTTTCAATTTATCTGCATCGATAATTTTATATCAAAGAAAAGAAAGACTTACAATGTGTCCAGACTTGTTAAACTACCGTTCAACGTTGGCATATTGGAAAAACCGTCAATCTTCAGCAATTCAAGATAAGAATTTATAGTCGCTACGTAAATTCCTTTCGTGCCCGCCGTACCTAGATAACGTGGACTAGATAATTCGATTAACATACGTTCGGGACTTTTTTCCGATGAATTGTACGCTTCTGCATCGAGTTTTACAATCTCGACAGACGAGAAATGAATAATGAATAAATATGGATTGCAGAATGCTGAAAAAAATAAAATAAAAGTTTTATTAGATAGAATTATTTATTAATTGTAATGTCATCTACAATTATGTAATTGAAACGATATCTACCAAAAGCAAATGGTAAATGGTTCCATACTGGATCAACGGCGCGAGTTCTTCTACCATTTTCGTCCACAAATACACCAAATTCATTATAGCATAATAGAAGCTCTGCCGTACCGCGTGTATTAGAAATATTCAAAACGCAAACCGGAAATATGCCAAGTTTAGCTGCACCCGTAAGCGCTGCTTTAACAGAACTATTGTCTTCTTCTGGGAATTCTGTAAATTATATAATTATACAGGGTGTATCTGAAATGATGCACTAAACTTTAGGAGCATATTCTAGAGATCAAAATAAGACTTTTTTTTCCTATGAACATAGGTCCGCAAATGAACCCACCTCCGAGCTAGAGGCCCCTAAAGTTTGGGGAAAAAATTAAAAATTGGCTATTTCAGAAAAAAAAATGGCAGAAAGTTGAAATTTGGTATAGCGCAATAAATTATGAAATAAAGTAAGCCACTAAAATGAAAAAATAAAAACGTATTTCACACATTTTCGAATTTTAGCTCGGAGGGGGGTTCATTTGCGGACCCATGTTCATAAGAAAAAAAAGTCTCATTTTGACCTCTAGAATACGCTCCTAAAGTTTAGTTCATCATTTCAGATACACCCTGTATATATGTGTTTAATATATTATTTCTTTTACAAAATTATATCTCTTGTTTAAAGTAAAAACCAGGGTTGCAAATAATTAAATCAATTTTTAATCTAATTCAGGAGTAATTCATAAATCAATTCTTAATTATTAATTATACTAAGCTTTAATTCATAATTCAAATTAGATTTATGAATTACTCACGCTTTAATTCACAAATCAATTTTGATTCGTGAATTGCACCGGCTTTAATTCATAATTCAAATTTGATTCGTGATTTAAAGCTGGTATAATTCACAAATCAACTTTGATTTGTGATTTAAAGCCGATATAATTCATAAATCAATTTTGATTTGTGATTTAAAGCCTGTATAATTCACAAATCAATATTGAATTCTGATTTACACGGCTTTAATTCACAAATCAATATTAATTTGTGAATTGAAACTAAAGTAAACCATAAGTACATATTGAATTATTGTATATACAGGGTGTCCCAAAACTCATAATTGAAATCAAGTAAACTCCGAATAAAAAGGCAAAAGAGCCACGCGCAGTTTTTTGGGCGCAAAGGTATATAATTTAAACCAAAAAATAAATTAAAAAATTAGAGAATTTCTTTAATTACATGATTCGCGAATGGCGGACGTTTCGGCCCTTTTTTTGGCCATCATCAGCGCAAATAATACTAAACTCAACAATATAAACGGTATACAGAAAGAATCTTAATCAATTAAAGCGCAGAGTTACATGGTAACCAACGGTAGAAGGCGTAATCCCTCATGTCGCTCCAAAAGGCAAAAACCATTCTCCATGTAGTCCATGTTATTTCGGGGCAGAAACCTCGATTCATTAAGCATGAATCCACGAACATGATGATACGTTAATAATTGTGTATAAAAGAGACGCAACGCACAAGTCGACAGCAAAAATTTTTCAGCAACGCAAAGTCTTAACTAAACTCACTAACTAACCACAGAGTAATGAGAAGTATTGTTCGGCGAAAAAGGTGAGATGATAAAAACAAATGTTACCAATAGCGGTAAACAACGATACAAAAAAAATTAAATTGTCAAAACAGTGAAATGAAAAACAATATCAGCATTGTCTGTAGTATAAAATCAAAATAATAAATAAATAAATATATATGAAAACAGTCCAGACAAACTATCCAAAAAATAAAATAAAAACAAACTTTTTGTCGTTGTAAAAAGATGTTTGTCAAATTAAATGGATAAATAAATAAATAACATTTAAAAAGTTGTCAAGTACAGTAAATTAATTATAAATTAAACATAAAAATTACAATGAAATATAAGATAATTAAAAACAATGACTATAATCGCTGTCAAGTATGGTAAAACACGATAAAATAAAATGTAGAGTGTAAAAAGGAGAACGACAGAAAAT